TTTAATATAAAGGATTATATATTTAATACAATGCAATACAAGGTTATTCTCATTAAATGTTTCCTTTTGGGGGGGGACTACAGTGGTCACTTTCCATCTTGTTTTCCAAATATAGCTAACCAAGGAATAAATAGTTGCAACTTCCAAACTGACTGAAATCTCCTTTTATAAGCTGAAAGTTTTAACAAAAAGAGGAATATATTCAGTCAACATGTTTTATAGTACTAAACTTAAAACATTTCTGTAATGTTTTCCCCAGTAAATTATTGGAGTCATTAGTGCAGAGCCCTGTGCTCTATCTTCAGAGCCAACATTCAGCCTCTGTTCAGCTAGGATTGCTATTTCCTCTGTATCAGAAGGATATCTGGCAAGGTGATTTTTTTTCCTTCCATTATGGGTGCATCTATACTGTAGATATATACTGTATACTGACACCACTTGCTGTAGCTCCATTCTACAGAATCCTGAGATTTGTAGTTTTACAAAGTCTTTAGCCTTCTCTGCCAAAGAGAGATGGTGCCTCACCAAACTACAAATCCCAAGATTCTGTAGGATGAAGCCATGGCAGTTAAAGTGGTGTCAAACTGGATTATTTGTGCAGTGTAGATGCACCCTTAGTCCAATAAAGAAACCACTCACCACACTAGATCTGTTAAGCATACAGAGTATTACAGAGTATTACTTTACATATGGATGTAATATATAGATGTAGGTGCACCCTATGTTTCAACTTTCATATCATTTCATATCATTTTTTCCACATTTACTGAAGGAATCAGTGCAGAGTGCAGTGTTTAAGTGCAGGGAGAACTGGGAGAGCCAAGTTCAGATCTCTGCTTGATCATGGAATTTATCCTGTCCGACTGGGCCACCACTACCGCTCAACAAATCTGCCTTACACATTTCTTGCACACTGATGTTCATACCCTTCTTTCCTATCTCCTTCACTTCACCATACCATAACCCTTCACAATGCATCCTTTCCTGCCTGCACTTGTCAACTCACAACATTCACTTTCCCTTTTCTCCTACTCCCTTCTTTCCTCATCTCTCATGCTCACAATCTGTCCATCCCTTGCTTCTCTGTCACTAAAACCACTTACTTTTTTCTTCCTTTCTACTCTCTCCCTTGGCTCACCTAACCCAGCGAATGTGAATGGACAAGTGTACTGTATTATCCCAGACAGAGGCTTTTCATTTTGAATTAGGAGGCAGACTTTTCAGTGCTGGAGTTTGGTTTTCAGGCAGATTTTAGTCATAGTTTTCTTAGAGGTAAAGAACATCTTAAATCAGAAGAGATCCTGCAGTTGTCACATCTGCCACTTCTCATCCACCAGAATCATCCAGTGATACTCCTCCTAAGGAACATGCTGGAAAGGAAGAAACTCTATTTAATATTATTCTGGATCTTTATTTTCTGGAATTGAAATCTAAATAGATGACATTGACATACAGGTGCCATAGGCCAGAGAGAAGTCAGAAGGAAGGGAACAGTTGTCACTTTGCTGTGACATGGGATGGTGAGGGGAGACCTTGAAGAAGGTGACAGCTGACAGGTTCAAATCAGTCAGGGGTAACAGGATAGGAAAGAGCTATCACTGGGATATATGCTGCTATTTTTAACTGCTCTTCCACACATGTTTAGAACACGCCAGCAGCTTAGTTTATGTGTTCAGCTTGAAACACCTTAAATTGTCCAAGTTAAAGATAAGCTATAATGTTCTTTCTAAAGGGTCATGCAGCCTTTCAAATGCTGTTATACTGCAACACCCTGCAACTCAATCCAACACAGTCAATGGTGAGGAAAACTGGGGTGTGTGGCCCAACAACCTCTGGATTGTTTTATGGTTCCCACCCCCACTGAGCAACATAATTTGCTTACTACAGCAAGAGAATAATCCACTGGTGGTAACTAGTGGAAGCCAAAGTGGGATGGCCTATGATGTGGAGGAACCCCAATTTAACCATCTTCCTGCCTGCAGTCTCAGTCTCATGATATTGTCACCCTGTAGGAAGAGATAGAATCATAGACCAATGAAGCTTTGGAACCATCTGATGTACAATTCAGCCCATATAGTTCTACATGTCAAGCCAGCTTTCATTGAGAAACAAGCACCCTGTGGCCCTCTAGATATTTTTGCATGCCCAGTGCTTATCAACCTTATCCAGTGGCCAGAGATTATAGGATTTGAATTCCAAAAACATCTGAAAGCTCACAGGTTCCCATTGGTGCTCTAACTGAGAAGACAGGAACCATGAACAGAAGGATATATTTCAATTATTATCTGCCTTCCTAGTACTTAGCAAACTGTACCTTAGTCCACTCTGTTCTCTCTGTGGCAAAGCACGATCTACTGCATATACTCATGTATAAGTATAGAAAATTTAGTTAAAAAATTGACCCCAAAAAACTGGGTTGACTTATCCATGGGTCAAAAAAAAAAAAAGAACCACTTTCTTTTCTTTAAGGAGAGTGGTGAAAGGCGAAAGCTTAGTCCATCCCAGGAGCACCAACCCCTTTTACTCTGTCCACCATGGCTCCACTTCTGACCTTTTTGGATGCCTGGGTTGGAAAAGCACAAACAGTTATGCTTGACAGAATTTTGTAAGTTCTTTGACATCATTTTCTTTAGTTTCATCCTTTATATCCTATGTTATGTGCCTCTTAAGTTTTACCCCATCTTATCCATGGATCAACTCAAAATCAATAATTTTGGCCCCAAAACATGCCCTTAACATATACATGAGGTCAACTTATACTCAAGTACATATGACAAGTGGCTTGGCTAGTTTCCTGTAAAAAACATGTTTACACCTAATTTGGCATAGTGGGAGAATAGAATCATATTGGGGGAAATGCCAGCCATCCTCCTTGTTGTAGCAGTAGTTTATTAATGCTTAGACCACAGGCCAATCACATACAAAACAAATGAGTAAACTAAAAACTGCAACAAGAAATAAATAGCATATACAGTTGTCCCTCCATATTTGCGGGGATCTATTCCAGATCCCCCCACAAAAACAGAAAAGCCAATATTCAAATTCTTTTGGCTTGAATGGTGGTGCACCGCCCCTGGGCATCCACGGGCATGCACCCCATTTTAATCCCCCCCCCCGTTTGCCGTCCATGAATAGGTGAGGGACACAGACTCAAAGTCCATGAAAACAGAGCGGCAACCCCTCTGTCCTCCACTGTTCTGCTTAATTCCTGCAACCCCTTAATACCCATGACCTCCTTAATAGAGTCCATCCATCTGGCATGTGGCCTTCCTCTCTTCCTACTTCCCTCCACCTTCCCCAGCATTATTGCTTTTCCAAAGAGTCCTCCCTTCTCATGATATATCCAAAGTATGACAGCCTCAGTTTGGTTTTCTGGTTTGATCTGCTCTAGGACCCACTTGTTTGTACTTTTGGCTGTCCATGGGATCCTCAGCACTCTTCTCCAGCATCACATCTAAAATGAATTGATTTTCTTCCTATCATCTTTCTTAACTGTCCAGCTCTCACATCCATACATGGTAATAGGGAATACGATGGCTTGTATGATTCTAACTTTTGTGCTGAGTTGTATATCTTTGCATTTTAGAATCTTTTCTATTTCTTTCATAGGACCTTATCACACGGGGTCTAAAGCAGACAGAACCCCATCCCATCCTCGTCCCATTGTGGTTCCTTTTCCCGTGCGTTCACATGACGTCGCACAGAACCCCGTCCCATTGCGGTTCCTTTCACAGTGTGTTCACATGACGTCGCAGAGAACCCCGTCCCATCCCGTCCCAATGCGGCATCATTCCCATTCTTTTGAATGCCGGTTTCCTGGGGAATTACATTTGCGCGACCAGAATGATACTGGAATGATGCTGCTTTCGTTCATTGCGCAATGATGCTAGTTGCGTCTGATAGCAATTTCCGTCTTGTGAGGTCTATACCGGTATAGTTCTGGATTGATTCCATACCGCTTTCTTGCCACTTTGAGACCTGTGTGTGATAACGTCCATAGCCACCCTCCCCATTCTCAATCTTCTTCTGATTTCCTAATTGTAGTCCCCATTTTCATCAATGTTTGATCCCAGGTATGAGAATTCTTTTACTATTTCTATTTCTTCATTGTCTAGGTTGAAGTTGTGAAGGCCCTAGAATACTGTACTTTTAAAATTCAGTAAGATTAAAATACTTTGACTATAACCAACAATGCTATGGTTACCTCCTTGTATAGAGTTGAAGATTTGCATAAAACCCTATATGTACATAACTGTGTGTAGGCTCTTTCTGTCTACTTGGAGAGCCTGCTTTTTGCTTAGTCTTTGGGCAGTGCCTTCATACATTCTGTTGGATGCATGGCTACTTTTTGTGCGCATGGCTAGCTGAGAGTTTGGAGTTCTTCTGGAGTTCACCTACATAGGCAGCAGCTGCAATGCACTCCGTCCTCCATTTCTTTCACTGAAGATCCAAGAAGCCACAATTCTAATCACTCAGTATGATCATGATTCAGCACAAAGTTTTATGCCAACTATACTGAAAAATACCTTTAATCTCTATCAGTCTGCCACTCCCAACTATTACATTCCACCCTACTTAAAAATTATTAATCAGGGCAGCTTCCCTAAGTTAAATGAAATGTATGCACACCTCCACCACTGGAGACAACCTGAATCCTTATTTTTGTCCTTTAATTCTGCTTATTGTACACTGAATAATTTATAAAAGCAGAAGGAACTGGAAATATCCAATGAATCTGATGTGAAAGAGAGGCTGCGTCTCAGATTGAATAAAAATGGATTTATTTCACAAAGTAAATATGTTTCAACCAAAAATATAAAATACGATTATTAAGATGTAATATTGTCATTGTTGTTGCTGTTGTGTCCCTTCAAGTCATTTCTGACTTCTGGTGACCCTAAGATGACCCTATCATGGAGTTTTCTTGGCAAGATTTGTTCAGAAGGTGTTTGCCTTTGCTCTCATCTGAGGCTGAGAGAGTGGTCACCAGTGGGTTTCCATGGCTGAGCAGGGATTTCAACCCTGGTCTCCAAAGTCATAGTCCAATGCTCAAACCAGTACACCACACTGGCCCCAAGACATAATATAAGGAGCCAAATATGTGATTTCTTAATTGATCTAGGGAAGCATCTACACTATAGAAATAATACAGTTTGATATCACTTTAACTGCCATGGCTCTATCCTACAGAATCCTGAGATTTGTAGTGAGGCACCAGCACTCTTTGGCAGAGAAGGCTTAAGACCTTGTAAAACTACAAATCTCAAGATCCTGTGGGATGGAGCTACAGCACTTAAAGTGGTGTCAAACCTCATTATTTCTACAGTGCAGATGCACCCTAAGACTCAAGGAGACCAGAGCCTGAATTCCCACTCAGCCATAGCAATTGGTAATGGGTAATGGTAATGAAAAACCCCTTCTGAATACATCTTACCAAGAAAATCCTGTGGTACAGTCACCTTGTACTAGAATGAACTTGAAAGCCCATTGCAGGAAAAAAAAATGTCCTGCAAATGACTGCATTTTATATGCAGTTTAGTATGAGCCATATTTGCAGCTATAATTTGTGTATTTCTTCAGTCTATGACTTGCTTATAATTATTAATGCATATCTATCGCTCCCCCAAATCATTACTTTTAACAGACGTAAAAATAATTGGCTGAAATATGTTGGAAAATTTTGTGAAATAAAACTTTTTTCATGCACCCTGAGACTCAGTCCCTCTTTCAGATCTCAGGCAATCCATAAACCTGTCTATGCAACCTCTGCTATGACAGGTCCATTGATGCAGATTAACAAAAATGCCTTCACTAGATTTGTTCTGGCTATTTGATGCAATATTAGGATGCACTGTAGAAATCAGTAGCTTCATTGCAAGTGAGGAAAACAATTGTTTTGCATGAAATCAGACAGCAAGGCAACAATGATAAGGAGGGCAGAATGGAAGAATGAAGGAAGTTACACTGACACACATATTTTCTTAAGGGAGACTAATGACTGTTGCAGACTGCCAGAAATAGTGCAAATTGAGTCCACTTTTAGGGTTAGGGTTAGTGCTAGGGACTCATGAGAATTTTTTTTTTTCTGAGACATTGAGCCTTCTCTGTCAAAGAGCTCTGGTGCCACGATAAAATACAGTTCCCATGATTCCCTAACCCTAACCCTAACCCTAAAAGTGGACTCAATTTGCACTATTTCTGGCAGTCTGCAACCCCCCTAAATTCAAGCAAAACTGTAGTAATGCAGACATGATCCCTTTGCACTGGTAGAAATGATTGCATCTTAGACTATCTAGAATTGCATTGATGTATGTGTGCAGTGCTTTCTCTCTCTTCATGCTTCAGTATAATAGTTCTGTAGTCTCCCTACAAAGGAAGGATGGGATTGACCTAGCCATGCCTGCTAATACTAACATATCTTGCCTTTTCTTTTACTCATGGGGATGCTGCATGCTCTTCCAAATGCTTCTCGCATCGTTCTCGAGTCCAGCAGCTTCTTGCGCTCAGTACATCGGTAAGCTTTTCACTCTTATGCTGGTTGTCAACAAATATTTTCCAAAGCAATAACCATATTTGTTGTAGTAAAAACAAACATTTAATATTATAGTGGCTTAAAGCAGGGGTGTGCATAAGCACACAGGATCTACTTGGTTTATTTCTTTGTTTTTAAAACTAGAAACAATCAAATCCTTGTGCAAGAAGTATACATAGTGAGTTGCAGGGAATTATGAATTAGGAATTAGTTTTAAGGACTAGAAGTGATCCTAGATACTCTGACCACATTAGCATCCTCATAATCCTTCTACATAAAAATCCATTCCTGTTCACCCCAAGTTTATTAATTTCAGCCAGTGTAATTTGAAAGGTGAGGAAGAGTTAAGTTGCTGCTGCCATTGCTAAAGAGAGTGAGAAAACCATGCTGAGCTATTAAGAATAATCAAAAATTCTACCAGTACCTCTAGATCTACCCTTAAACTTAAACACTAGCAAATTTATTGTGGCATAAGCTTTTACAAACTGGAGCTTTATTCATCTGATGAAGTAAACTCTAGTCCTAAAAGTTTAAGTCATAATAATTGTCTTAGCCTTAAGATGTTGAAAGACTTGTTGCTGTTGTGAATCAATACTGGCACTGTAAACAGATCCAATTGCTAGAAGATCTTAAACATTACTAGCCATCTTGAGGGACCTGTCTGCTTGGAGGTCCAAAGCCAATGTTATCTCCACATTTAGTGTCTGCTGATCTAATCATTTTAAAATCCATGGATAGTTTATTTATTCTCTTATTTATCATTTAACAGGAAATCACCTAGTCACTTTTGCAAAAAGAAACACAAATGAAATATGAACTCTTTTATGATCAAGCATTGTTGATCTAGGGAGATTTCTCTATAGGGACCCACACTCAAGGTTCCCTAAGACCCTAAGACCACAATTGGCCATTCTTACACCTGTTGCAAGGTAGACAAGGCTGGTGTTTTTGTTAAGGAACCAGCCTAGAAATCTAGGTTTCTAGGTTGGTTGTGACACATTATTCTCTTTTGGACGTTATTTAAGACATTCTGGCCACTTTTGCACTTTTATTTCACAAAAGAATAAATCAGAATTCTTAGCTTTCTTTAAATAGATAGCGTGCTGTTGCAGTCTATTCACTTTCATTTTGATCTTTCTGTTCACAAAGCTAACTTACAAACCAGAAATTGATAGCTTTTTGTGATGTCCAAACCTGGGATCCTAGTTTGCTGCCCTTAGACAAATCAGGATTCAAAAAAACAACAACAAGGTCAGGCTTATTGCTTGCAATTGTGCTTTGTTTAGGTGCAAAGAGGAACAACTGAAAACAGGATTCTGAGTTTGAGCACCATAATCAGCTATCCATTTGTGATATGTCTATCTGCTTGTATAAACAGATGAACCAAAGTGGTAGTGAATGGGCTGAATACAACAATGCTCATTCGCAACAAGCCAAGAATCTTGGCATATATGAATGCAGACATAGGACGTTATCACACGTGGGCCAGAAAGCAGTAATAAAGTGGAAATGAGGCATTCCGAAAATAAACGGAAAATAAACCTTGATTCCGCAAATGGCTTTCACACGTAATTACCTTAATTGCGAATTTACAGTAAGCGCATTTAACATTCACACACAAGTGAGAAAAGCCCGTAAATGTACTAGAAATGAGCTTCTTGCACATGCGCAGATAGAGGAATGCTCGCTGGAACAATGGGAAAAGCAGGGAAATGCTCCCAAATGCGCATTTGCTTTTCACATTACGGTAAATGCGAAATTACCTTAATCGCGCATTTGCATTTCCTCCAAACAACCGAATTTCAAAAGATCTCGGTTAACACCAGTTTCTGTCCACTTTCTGTCCAGTTTCTGTGCGACGTCATGTGAAAATGCGGGGCACAAATCCAGTTTCTGTTTGGGATTTGTGTGGATTAACCAGCAGATTTGCCCCCGTGTGATAACGTCCATAGTCTGTCCATGCCTCAAAAGCCATGATAACAATGAAACAGCTACACAAACTGACGTGTTAATCAATGGGGGAATTTTAGAATGGAAAGAATTATGTCTCTCATGTTATAAAGACACACATTGATTTACAAGCTATTTGAAAGCCCTTATAATATAATGCCGTATGCCCCCTTTCACAGAAATGAGACAAAAACTGAGTCACAGCCAGATGTTGATGTCTGGGAAATCCTTCGGAATGCTCCTCCATCAGAGTATGAAAAAATTGCTTTCCAATATGGCATCACTGATCTGCGAGGGATGTTGAAAAGGCTCAAACGTATCAAGAAAGAAGAAAAGAAAAGCACATGTAAGAGGAAAAAATTATCCCCCTACCTCTACAGAAATAATTTCACTTTAGAAGAAATGTGACATATGAAGTAGCCCTCAAACTCTGCTATAAATAATAATAATAACAATAATAATAATAATATCATGAAAGGCCTTTTCAAATGTTCAGGTCTCTTCTTCTCATTCGTATTTTCTTTTGCTGGTCATTGACTGTAATAAATTTCATTCAACTCATTCGTATTTACTATTAAGAAGAAATACATGAGAAAAATCAAATGGAAGGATGCAGTCTAAGCAAAAGAAGTAGAAGAGTCTCATGGTTTGCCAGCATTCAATAACTATTTAATAAGCTAAGTTTAACAATGTTACACTAAATTCTAAAGCAGAACAATGTTCCACTAGAATTCCAATGTTCCACTGAAATTCAAAACAGAAAAAAAGTTGAAAAGTGGACAGTCAAATCAAATCTCTGCCCAGTTATGTGTAAGCTAGGCAATGACTGGACTATATTAAATGTCGAGCTTTCTGGTACCAGGCATAAGAGCTTTTTATTGACTCAACATATTACAAATGTCATTTTGTCTGCTTGTATAGTGGGCCCTTGGTATCCGTTAGGGTTTGGTTCCAGGACCCCTGTGGATAACAAAATCCGTGGATGTTCAAGTCCCATTAAATAACAATGGCATAGTGAAATGATGTCCCTATATAAAATGACAAAATCAAGGTTTGCTGTTGGAATTTATACATTTTTCAATATTTTCAAATCCATGGAAAATCCATGGGGGATATTGTTGTTGTGGTTTTTATATATTTTATGCTTTGTATTTTTATATTACTTGTTATCCCGCTTCGATCCGTAGGGAGAGGTGGGAAATATAAATAAATTATTATTATTATTATTATTATTATTATTATTATTATTATTATTATTATTATGAAGGGCTCACTGTAATTTTTATTGTATAAATATTTATCATGCAAATTTTTCTGTTGGGAGGAAGAACAGACAAAAAGTAAGGTGGGGAAAGTCCCAGTTACACAAGCAGATATCCACTGGCATGATGCTGGATCTTACCCATAGTCTTTTGCTGCCTTTTAGTCTGTACCTGTTCT